CATAGAACATCTATCAGTCTGGTTCTAACGAGTAGATACACAGTCCGAGGACGTCGTCTATCTATCAGTCTGGTTCTAACGAGTAGATACACAGTCCGAGGACGTCGTCTTTCTATCAGTGTGGTTCTAACGAGTATATACACAGTCCAAGGACGTCGTCTATCTATCAGTCTGGTTCTAACGAGTAGGTACACATTCAAGGGACATAGAACATCTATCAGTCTGGTTCTAACGAGTAGATACACAGTCCGAGGACGTCGTCTATCTATCAGTCTGGTTCTAACGAGTAGATACACAGCCCGAGGACGTCGTCTTTCTATCAGTGTGGTTCTAACAAGTATATACACAGTTCGAGGACGTCGTCTATCTATCAGTCTGGTTCTAACGAGTAGACACACATTCAAGGGACATAGAACATCTATCAGTCTGGTTCTAACGAGTAGATACACAGTCCAAGGACGTCGTCTATCTATTAGTCTGGTTCTAACGAGTAGATACACAGTCCGAGGACGTCGTCTATCTATCAGTCTGGTTCTAACGAGTAGATACACAGTCCGAGGACGTCGTCTATCTATCAGTCTGGTTCTAACGAGTAGATACACAGTCCAAGGATGTCGTCTATCTATCAGTCTGGTTTTAAAGTGTCTGTCTAAAGACACATTCACCAACCCTGAATAGTATTTATCAGTTCGACTCTAACGTTACGGAGACACGTGAACATTGTCGAGTGTGGTTTACCAGTCCATTTTAGCGATGAGTAGACAATTGTAACATTGGCTTCAAGCTGTGTAAAAGCCATAATTTTGAATGGAATATGCATGGAATCATCAGTGATAAACATGGATTAATATTGAAGTCTATGCAAAGCCAGTATTATGTCGTTGTGGTTCAACGCAGTGCAGACACAGAAGTACTCAATGTTCAATGAACAAAATAGGACCCAGAAATGATTTAAAAAAGATCAAGGCAATCAGTGATAATGCCATTTACGTGACTTGTCAATGCAAACTTTGATATAGGATGCTGTTCAGCGTCATCCGGTGCGAGTGCAGATGATAAACACCATGTTGAATGACACGTGTCCAATGATGAATAACGATTTTCTGGACTTAAATGAACTGATTACAAGATTCCAGGAATGAAAGTGATATAATTAAGCACGTGCACGGTACACACAAGAAATGGCTTGCAAGAATGATTACTAATTTTCTAAAACATTTCAACTGGACAGTCCAGTATAGTTATACATCGAAAAACAAGTCACGGGAGGACGAAATGGGATTGCGACTTCAAGAGACGCTAAAATAACACTTGCAAAAGTTCCCTTCTTTGTTCTGCAGGTTTATGGACTCATGTATTTTGCTGAGTACTTTTGCGTTTATAAATGACACCTATTCTGGAAAAAACTCCGCCGCCCCCAGGAACTCTCCAATTCCCTAGACCAAGAACAAAACAAGTTGAGTTCACCCTCGTGCTTCACCAAGTATCCTTCAGGCGGGAAAATATTTACCCGTACAGAACAAAGGTCTGTGGAGGAATTCAAAACATGCGTGAACAATGCAGAGATGAAGCAGACGGCACGGGCAGGGAAGGGTCCATCTGGCCATATGGATCCGGTCAATGATTAGTCCAGGACATAGGGGGGATGAACGCATCGGACGCTGATTAATCGGAGGGGAGACCGAGTCAGGCACGTCTGGAGCTCCTATACATCGATTGTCCATACAACGTGTACATCTTCAGTCAAGTTGTTGAAAAGTTACTCATATCCGCTCTTCACAAACACTGAGTGCGGCAGCGGATGATCAATCTTGGCATTGTAGCAGCACGGGGAATGGTCTTCACAAGGAGGTAATAAGTGTCTCAACATGGACATGACCTTGTACATACATTGTCAACATCACGTGGACCGCTGGTCCCCAATTCGTGCCGAATTGGTCGACAAGATCACATCTTGTGTTTCGATAAAAGTTAGAGTGCTTCAGCTGCTCACGTTTCAGCGCCATCTATTTGTCTGCCACAGACCCCATCTGTAATAACTGCCTGGGTGCGAAAGATTTGATTACAGAGACACCAATAAATCTGATTACCTTCTGACATTTTACGTCATGTAACTTAAAGACGTATGTTAAAGGGGCGGTCACTCGAGAATGTGTCACGACCCTTGACCTTGTACGTATGAATGGTAAACTCTGTGTCCTTGCCAGCCAATTAGTAACTGATACAAAGGTTAGCAATATGTACTCCCTGGCAGCCAGTCATATATGATACAATGTCATTCTAATGGCAGTGATGTAACTGTATATACCATGGTATAAAAGTTTCCTTAACTTGACCCCGTGTCATTCTAAATGGGTGCTTATTTCCTGCTGCACTGACGTATAGCAAAGAGGCGTGTATGGCGCAGTTTGTATGCTATCAGGACATTTATAACGGGAATTAGAGCTTACATGTGTCAGCTGTGAAGGATTAGGGAGGGAGGGTAATCCAGCCCTGCTGCTGTCTGATGATGGAAAGTGTTGTTGATGAAGGAATGTCAGAGGGTTGACCTTTTGGCTCGTTTACAGTCGAATTACACCGAAAGCGTTGCAAGAACACGAGGGAGTATAAAAATGACAGATCTGGTAAAATCTTACTTGCACAAAATACATCTTAGAAGGATTAGCTGCCCTTTGACAGATCTATGGAGACGATATGACTGGTTGAGGGAACCAAGCAGACTTCTTGTCCCTTGCATACATACTGATAGTGATCTGTGATACTGTTTGCCTTTTGGAATTGCATGTTTATGTTATATAAGGAGCTACAGTGTACGTATATATGTGTGTTCAATGCATGGGTCGATGAGATGATTACTCTAGATGTCGTCACTAGTCCTTTGATAAACACTGCAATGATTTACACCTGCCGAGTGGCACCCTTTCTATATTGATGATACGTGACAAGAGATTGTTATTAATTATGGTTAGGTGCAGGTTTTCGAAATACCCAAACCACATCCCAACGAAGGTCGCCGAGAATAGGGTCCACACATTGTACCCATGTTGGGAAACGAGCCAAGACCTTCGGCATCCTTTAATCAGAACTAACATGCACTGCTCAACCCTATACCCTATCATGCTGACAACGATCCTTTAGAACATGAGCTATTGTGTTTATCATTTTTATTATTTTCGGAAAAGCTGTAAATGTTCACAGGAATAAAATCAGACTTACTAAAGTGATATATGTTTTCGCTTAGAAAGTGATTATGGAGTGTGACTGCGATCTATCAAAATAGCCAGGTCTGTTTCCATCACGTCTACCTCCGGTCTCTAGTTAGACGCTTTGTATAGACTGTAGCTAAATCAACCGCTATACCTTGTCTATAAACTGTGTGATTACGTCATTAATAGATTTTCAGGTTTCTGTATTTTCTCTCCTTCAAGAGAGCGAGCTTACAAAATACTCATTAGTTTAGATTAAGGGCATCATTTGTGCTGGTATGGGTAATACACGTGATCGCAACAGTCCTTGATTCTATAGGGTTCTATCGCGCGACGCAGTAACTACAGGTTGGTTCGTGTTGAGTATATCAATACACATTCCCGCCGCCTTTCACCAGACTAAGCCTGTACCTGCTGACAATGTCTTCCTCATCCATTGCGTCATCCAATCTCACTGTCCTGTACATGGTATTGATTTGCCGTTGGCACTAAATAGATAGATCGCTTTTGTTGTGCCTAATTACTGGCTAGATATTGGATGAGCGAGACTGTGTAGAACTGATAAATTGTCCAGTTGAGCTACTTTTTGGAGCTATAATCAACGAGTTTTGGAAACATTGAGTCTGTTTGATGGGGTTTTATAGTATCTCGCTTTGAAATGTTTTTAGCGCGTTCGTGTGTGAATGTGCGTGTGTTTTAATGAACGCATGATGAAGCGACCTCATTTGAAAAACGGTTGTTCGACGGATGTTATTGAAAGTATTTTGTGTTAATGAAAATTAATATAGTCAGTTTCAGTTTAAAAACAAAACAAAACCCTTTTATATTACAAATACTGAACGAACAACCCAGCAACAATGGTAGAAGGAGAGAATGTTCTTTAGCGTTGTATCGCAATTCCAAGTATGCCGTGCAGCCTGTGCATCATAATCACTTTGACAGGCTACCCGGAGGTTGATAGCACGAACACCGATTCATACGAACAGGAAACAATGGCGGTCAATCACTTTAGTCAGCGATCTTGACCAACCGATACTCTTTTGTGGTCTATCGTACTGTTATTTCACGACTGTCAAATAAATAGTCGCATCTTGACCATAAAAACCAGTGATTGATAGCATGAGCACTCATCCATTACGTCGGAGTACGACGGACAATCATCCATTCAAACATTGTAACAATCTTTCGACAACCTTAGAGTACAGATAACGTGGCCGTGATGGCCATTTTACTCATCATCATCATCATCATCATCATCATCATCATCATCGGGAAAGGAATAATTATGTAATTAAATATCTGACCCCGACTGCCGATGCCGATACTACAGTTTGTCATACTGACACTAAAAATACCAGAATTTGCTTCAGAAAATTAGAGTTATCCCCCTTTGACTTGATCAGGTGGGATTCTGGCAGCCATAGGCAAGATCGATTTATGCGTTGGGAGAATATCTCTTTTCCACTTCAACCCCCTGATTGTGAACCCTCAACACAGTGGCATATGGATCACCAACTATTCAAAATAATTGATCATCTAAAAAAGAGCATCATGTGTCGTGCAAATGGTATCGCTCAAAACTAATAGAACCATATAGCTGTTATGATTTATAAGTTTTTTGTGTGCATTAATTGAAGAGCTGATGAAAAACTTTGTTTGGAAAGAAACCAAAACTGTGAACGTCGGCGTTGCCGTGGCGACTTCCAAGCAGGCTGTGTATAATTGATCTAGACAAGTATGGCGAGTCAACTGAATAATGCTTTGTAACTGTGTTCTTGCAAAGCTGGCAATGTGTCAGTCATCCGCAGCACTTGAATATGGCTCTAACACAACACTTGGACATGACTCTAACACAACACTTGGGCATGACTCTAACACAACACTGAGACATGACTGTAACACTCGGGCCTGATTCAAGACAACACTGAGACATGGCTCTAACACAACACTGAGACATGACTGTAACACTCGGGTCTGATTCAAGACAACACTGAGACATGGCTCTAACACAACACTGAGACATGACTGTAACACGACACTGGGACATGACTCTAACACAACACTGGGACATGGTTCTAACACAACACTCAGACATAACTCTAACACAACACTGAGACATGACTGTAACACTCGGGCTTTACTCAAGACAACATGGCTCTTAAACAACACTGGGACATGACTGTAACACGACACTGGGACATGACTCTAACACAACACTGGGACGTGGTTCTAACACAACACTGAGACATGGCTCTAACACAACACTGAGACATGACTGTAACACTCGGGTCTGATTCAAGACAACACTGAGACATGGCTCTAACACAACACTGGGACATGACTGTAACACGACACTGGGACATGACTCTAACACAACACTGGGACATGGTTCTAACACAACACTCAGACATAACTCTAACACAACACTGAGACATGACTCTAACACTCGGGCTTTACTCAAGACAACACTGAGCATGGCTCTTAAACAACACTGGGACATGACTGTAACACGACACTGGGACATGACTCTAACACAAAACTGGGACATGACCGCAACACAAAACTGGGGGCATTCTAACACAACACTGGGACATGACTCTAACAACACTGGGACATGACTGCAACACAACACTGGGGGCATTCTAACACAACACCATTGGGGCCTGAATCTAAGACAACACTGAGACATGACTACAATACAACACTGGGGGCATTCTAACACAACACCATTGGGGCCTGAATCTAAGACAACACTGAGACATGACTACAATACAACACTGGGGGCATTCTAACACAACACTGGGACATGACTCTGACAACACTGGGGCCTGAATCTAAGACAACACTGAGACATGACTGTAACACAACACTGGGGACATTCTAACACAACACTGGGACATGACTAACACAACACTGGGGACATTCTAACACAACACTGGGACATGACTGTAACACAACACTGGGGACATTCTAACACAACACTGGGACATGACTGTTACACAACACTGGGGACATTCTAACACAACACTGAGACATGACTGTAACACAACACTGGGGACATTCTAACACAACACTGGGACATGACTCTAACAACACTGGGGCCTGAATCTAAGACAACACTGAGACAGGACTGCAACACAACACTGGGGACATTCTAACACAACACTGAGACATGACTGTAACACAACACGGGGGACATTCTAACACAACACTGAGATATGACTGTAACACAACACGGGGGGCATTCTAACACAACACTGAGACATGACTGTAACACAACACGGGGGACATTCTAACACAACACTGAGACATGACTGTAACACAACACGGGGGACATTCTAACACAACACTGGGACATGACTCTAACAACACTGGGGCCTGAATCTAAGACAACACTGAGACATGACTCTAACACAACACTGGGGACATTCTAACACAACACTGGGACATGACTCTTACAACACTGGGACATGACTCTTATACAACACTGGGACATGGCTCTAACAGAACACTGGGACATGGCTCTAACACAACACTGGGGACATTCTTACACAGCACTGGGACATGGCTCTAACACCACACTGGGACATGACGCTCACACAACACTGAGACATGGGTCAAAGCCACCATGCATACATGTTTATATGCTTTGTATGTATATAGCAACTGACAGCTTATAAAGGACAGTTACAAACGAGAGCTAATCTGATTTAATTTTTGACGTGGTAGCTGTACTACATTACAGTGAACCAAACGCCATGGAATAATTTTTTTCTGTCGCGCCAGCACGTTCACTAAAATAGGGCCCAGCCGATATATCCCCATGCGCATTTTGTAATTAAGAAGTCAGTCGTAAGCCTCCTCGGGCGAGTCCTTAACACATAGTTCATTTATTTTATTCGTTCCAATCACACCCACGAACATGTCACGTGGCTGCTCACAATGATCGCAGACTCAGTTCTCTTGTAACCAGAAAGGGAAATTATTCGAGCAGAAAACTTCACACAATACCATGTTGGCATATTTCGTAAGAGGGTAAGGACTTTAGACTATATACATCGAGATTATAAGTCCTGTGCCATCAGATAAAGCAATGACAGAGGTACACGGTACATCTACATTAGTAACAGGCAATAGAGTTGCCATTGTCTGTTGTTGTCAATATCTGTGAGCCAGCTGACTTGTCTATCACGTCTACATTAATCGGTTGTATCCTCTGGAGAAACATAAGAGACAGACTGAGTATACATTTACGCCGCTTTTAGACATATTCCAGCACTATAAAGGTGGGGGACATCAGACATTGCTTTCACACATTGTACCTATGTGGAACTGGAACCGTGCAGGCCTCCGGTGTGACGATCAAACACTCGTCCAGTAAGCTATAGCTATTGCACCACCACTCCGAGGATAAACAGGATCGCCCTGTGTTGAAAGTGTTTGCTTGCCGCCGTAGGACTGTGTTCTGTGCCAATATGGATACCACCTTATATTGCCATAGTGTTGCTGCCATGTTGATAAAGACAATCCACACGAGGAGGCGACTTTTATGGCTGAATGTGTAGCATCCGTATATGGGTACCCGGTAGAAAGAGAAAACAATTTGTCTGATTATCGTTGACATAGTTACATTGACTACAGTTTGTACCTAACTATAACGAACTGCCAGTATTTAGATAATGAAGACTTAGTGTATGGTGAAAGAAGCGTTAATTCTATCCAACAACGTTAATAATGCATGGATCAGATGGAGGAGCATATCCTGCCCTACCGGTAGGTAAAATTGTCAGGGAGTTCGTGAGGGGAAATAAGGGGTTCAAATAATGGAAAATACCGAGGAAAAAGTTATATGCTTATTCATCAGGAAATCTTGCAGCTATTCGCCGCGAGAAATGTCTGTGGTCTTACCATGAACAAAAGCTACAAACGTGGGGAAAATCACTACCATATCAGTCAAATATCACATTTAGAGGTAAAAAACTGACTGTTTAATTTATATAAATTAAGAGTTACATTTTATCACAAAGATATATTCTTTCACATATGCTGAAATCCGGTAGTTAGAAACTGTTCTAAGAAGTTCTGATAAGTTCAGAACGTGAATTACGACATTGTCAATGCGTGGCGAGTCTCCAAGATAAGAAGCATCTGTCTGAATGGATTCTTGATTGTGATAACAATGGTTCCGAAATTCAAGCCAAGGATCGGAAATGACAAACTAAACAGAGGGGTCCCTTATATGTTGTCACACAGCAGTCGCTGAAGCAATGAATATCAACATTGTTCAATCCAACAGGGATTTAATAATACAAATACAAAAATCTTGACCATGATTGAGTTAGACAACACAACACATTGCCTGCCCCTTGTGACGTAGATGCCCAACCCAGTGTGAGCAATAGCCGCCTGTGCTAGCCCGTGGCTAGCAAAATTTCAGTCGGGCTGAAGATTATGAAATGTCTGGACTGGCTACCGAAATTGTAACGGCGAACACCTCTTGGTTGATCAAAATATAATCAAACCATTCTCCCGTTTCTGTAGATCAGTAAGACCATCAAAAATGAAAAAAAATGAAATAAATATTCGTTGCGAATCAAAATTTGCGGGATCATAGTTGTTCATACTATTTTTTATCACAATTTCGGTAAACTTATTCCAAAGTTATACACTTTGGAAATCTCCCTAAGGGACTAATCCAACAACGCTTGAAAGACACCAATAATTTAGAGGATGTTATTATCATAAATTCTTTATAAGATGTGATGCAATTATTTTTCAATCACTATGAAATGAACACTAAGACAACTGTATAACATAAACGTACAGGTATTTAAATTAGAGCATGTATAAGATCCAGAGAGTAATTGCTTGAAACGTATTTGTTTGTTTATTGTTTAACGTCGCACTCAGTAATATTCCAGGGATATGACGACCGCCTAAATAATCATGTCTTGACCAGACAATCCAGTACGTGACATCAGAGCATCGATCTACGCAATCGGGATACGATAACATGCGTCAACAAAGTCAGCAAGCTGGACCACCCGATCCCGTTAGTCGCAAAAAGCATGGGTTTGGTTGCTGAAGACCAATTCTAACCCTTCACTGGGACGTATTAATGTATCACATAACGGTTTGTCAACCACGTCATCCAATACCCGCGGCAACTGTACGAACGTTCATGGTTTCACAAGAACATTTTCACACACTTTTAGATTCCATTCTCTTTGGGAACACGGTACTTCCATGCCATTAGACAAATTGATATTTTCGGGGATCTTTTGAAATTCAAAATGAGGAACATATTGACCAGTCTTCCATCACCAATATCTCAGACATGTTTCCAAATCTGAAAAGAACTCATTCAGATTAAAATCGTTCTTCTCCTATCCGTGTTCGTACAGAGCGAACCAACAACAATCTCCATTCACGTCTTTATGCTTGTGTCAGTTTGTTTAAAGCTCCCGTATGGAATGTTGGATATCACCGACAGCTATGAGAAGCAATAGAAACCAGTTACTTTCACCGAGGGTATTGAATAAATTCATTTCACATTAAAGATATTTAATGCACGGGGCCAGGCGTCGCGAAGTCCGTACGATCTCAATACAATCGGACAGCGAGATTTTAATCTTCCACCGTAGACGATATTCCGTTTTTATTCATGAGGCTAAATACTCATAAGTGGGCTAGAAAGGCATCAATTGGCCCTTTTTTGTAAAGAAACTAGAACGGTTGTAAATTGCACAGGAAAGTTCCTCTAACATCACGCAAAAACCGTTCAATCATAGATGCAGTGAAAATTGATGGCGGCGTTTTCTTTGATCATAGTGGTACGGGAAACAATTGAACACATTTAAGACTGTTGGGATTTCTCCATTACATAGCCTCCCGGCTAGCCATTTATAACATGGTTTATTTATGCACGAGAAACTCGTCGTAGGCATTTTTAGACTATCTGGACTTGAAAGAAGGCTCTCCAACTTCATCGTCACGAGCTGCTTGATGGTTAATAATAATAATGATAATAATGATGATGATGATGATGATGATGATGATGATGATGATGATGATGATAATAATAATAATAATAATAATAGCCTCAGACGTGTCCAGGCCAACAAACCTGATCTTGTCCTTTTTGATAAATCCAATGAAATCATTTATATCATTGAATTTTCTGTCCCTTTTGACACTTGTATGATTGACAAGATTCAGGAAAAAACATGGCAATTATGCGGACCTCGACATGTCACGCTTGCATCCCAATTACCAAGTTGTCCGACTCCCCATTGTTCTCGGTGCCTTAGGTTTGGTACCTCCCAATCTGTTGACTGACATCGGGAGAGTACCCGGGTTTGCTACCAGGAATACAGTCCTTCTGACAATCTGGGAAATGCAGAAGGCTGCGGGCAGTGTTAGGGAGTCTTCACATTCTCCGAAAAGTTCTGGGTGGGTTTGACTAGGCAGCGCTTCCTTGGCGAAGTGTAGATGGGGCAAGGGCCCTGAGCTGATGATGAGCCTAACCAGCCTGACTGCGCAAGGATCACCCAAACCCTCTTTGCTGCATTTTTTATTTTAATCTGTAAATAATAATAACAATAATAAAAACAAAGGTAGCTAAGTTTATGCATTCACATCGGTTGACGCCATCAAAATATTGATGTATGTGGTATTTATTAACATCTCGTTTCACGCGCTAATCTTGCTGATAAGAAACTTTTAGACTAAGTATAAATTCATATATAACTGGTAATGTTGCTCTCTCTCTCTCTCTCTCTCTCTCTCTCTTTCTCTCTCTCACACACACACACATATATATATATACATACACACACAGCGAAACGCACGCGTAATTATACATTTCTGTTCCCATACTTATCAAAACAATTATGAGGAAAATTCATCAGGACGAATCATTTTATGCGTCTACTTTAAACACCCAAACGATTCAAGACATTACGCATATTATGAACAAACAGGGTACTACTTAAAATACATATATGGGAATGACATAGGCAAGGAGTCTCAAAGCATTGCATTGTCCGAAATGGGTTTCTGTGACATATTAAGTACAATCCTCGTGGGACAGACTGAAAAACAGACCTCCTCCTAAACATTGAAACTCTGGCGAGTAGGTTGAGAACGGCTACTTGAGTAATGAACATTTCTTGGCAGTCCACGTGGAAGAAGTGCACGTTTATCTGTATCGGGAATCTACAATGGGTTTAAACGTTCATCGTTGAACTGCCCATTTCGCTGCCGCCACACAAAGGGAAGTTATGGTATCTCAAGAAATCCACAGTGCATCTCCAGAGACCTGTATCTATCTTGCTTCACATCGTTTAGATTCTGCTCGATGCTGAGTCGTTCTCTGGGAGGTCATACATTTCAATTACTTCTGGCCCACGACTTAATACAATCTTCTATTCATCTATTTTATAGTTATCTCAAGTCAGACGCAACCATGAAACTTGAACGTAAAGTCTGATTTTTCATTTACAAGAAAAAAGTTTGTAAGCGACCAAATTCCTTCTCCAGAAGTTCGTTCGTTAAACCAGCATATGGAAATGACATTACACGGGGTTTCTTATGAAATGAAGAAGTGACAAGGGTTCCTGTAAGGGTGAATAACGATACTCCAAGTAGAGATGCGGGCCAGCGTATTAATGTCACGAATACATGATTTTTATTTTTTCTTCGGCATATTGAATAATTCACCACCTATTGCTAGCCTGCGTGGAAACACAATCCAGATAATCTTTTTGTAAATAAACAAACCATGCTGCATACGGTTGCAGTGCAGTTGGAGAGAAACAGATCGCAGGTCAAGATCCTGCAGTCATCACTCCGAAAGTCAGAATCGCATTGCATTTGTTTGAACATTGGTTTGATCGTTTTTTTAAACATTGATTTGATCGTTGGTTTCATCCTTATTTTAACCATTGGTTTGATTATTGTTTTGATCGTTGGTTTTACCATTGGTTTGATAATTGGTTTGATTATTGGTTTCATCATTGGTTTAAACATTGGTTTGACCACTGGCTTGATCGTTTGTTTGATCACTGGCTTGATCATTGGTCTGATCATTGGTTTAAACATTGGTTTGACCACTGGCTTGATCGTTTGTTTGATCGTTGGTTTGATCACTGGCTTGATCATTGGTTTAAACATTGGTTTGACCACTGGCTTGGTCGTTTGTTTGATCGTTGGTTTGATCACTGGCTTGATCATTGGTTGAAACATTGGTTTGATCGTTGGTTTGATCACTGGCTTGATCATTGGTTTAAACATTGGTTTGACCACTGGCTTGATCGTTTGTTTGATCACTGGCTTGATCATTGGTCTGATCATTGGTTTAAACATTGGTTTGACCACTGGCTTGATCGTTTGTTTGATCGTTGGTTTGATCACTGGCTTGATCATTGGTTTAAACATTGGTTTGACCACTGGCTTGGTCGTTTGTTTGATCGTTGGTTTGATCACTGGCTTGATCATTGGTTGAAACATTGGTTTGATCGTTGGTTTGATCACTGGCTTGATCATTGGTTTAAACATTGGTTTGACCACTGGCTTGATCGTTGGTTTGATCACTGGCTTGATCATTGGTTTAAACATTGGTTTGATCACAGGCTTGATCGTTGGTTTAAACATTGGTTTGATCACAGGCTTGATCGTTGGTTTGATCGTTGGTTTGATCATTGGTTTGATCATTTTATCCACATACCCTTTGATCACTGGTTTTACCAAAGTGGGGGATATCTACAACCTGGTTAGAAACCAGATGAGGTTGAGCAACATTGGTCGTGGAGATTAGTTTGATGGGTGGCCGTGTTTGGCAGCGTTTCTGTACGGCATAGTAAACATCATTTAAAAATGTAAGACCAATTTGAGAGTTTCTAGGGCGTCCTTCCTACGCTACACATGTGACTAAGGCAAGTTGGTTTCCTTTAAATATGCCTATCTTCATCCATCAATGAATCGGCACCCGGTAGGATAAGATCGTAGTGTGACTGTTAAAGCTGCTCATAGAGAGCAAGGGTTGTGTCCTCCCGAGGCTGAGGAGACCCAGTTACCGGGGTAATAATGGTTGGGAGCAGTGATCATACACGAGTATGGAGTTATATGAGAAACTATATTATGTTTTTGATAATATCATTAACCTGCATCACTTTGGGCACTTTTGGCAAGAAATAAACGATGAGTGGGAGTTGCTTACCTTACAAAAAAACGCTGCGGGTAGAATAAACCATAAGCCCCGTGTTCTCCCTGCAGTGTTTATATAGTAAACTGAGGTTATAGCGAACTCAAATGGACCACTGACTTTAGTTCGTTATAAAACAGCATATATATATATATATATATATATATATGACTTTAGTTCGTTATAAAACAGCATATATATATATATATATATATATATATATATATATATATATATATTATTCAGTTATGGCCTGATGAAAAACTCGAATATGGTACGAGTTGTAAGCGCTAGCCAATTAATACTGTGTTCAATCTTACTCCACTTATTTAATTATTAGTGCTCTCTCTCTTTCTTTCTCTCTCTCTCTCTTTCTCTCTCTCTCTCTCTCTCTCTCTCTCTCTCTCTCTCTCTCTATATATATATATATATATGGTCATCTTGATTGTCGCATCATTATATTGGGACCATAGTCATCTCTTCGTAATCACATTAAGATCAATCACTACACCTTCACTGTTCTTAAATGGCTTGTATATTTATATGATATCAATTCACTTGCAGCTCAGTATTCAAGTGAAGAGGCAATAAGTGATCCTGAAACGTCGTTACTCACAAGGAAGTAATTAGTATCCTACAAGGGTCATGTTTTCATGTTCTTTCAACTCCTAAAAATGCCGGTCAAAGATATTCATAATGACGATGAACTCATTATTTTTTGTTATGAATTATTATTAATATATGATTGCTAAGTTGATAAGACTTGACATGTTACCGTGGAAGTCAACGTCTCGTCTCACCTTCCCATGTAGATCCGACGTTATTCAACGCGATAGGACGTGATCCGTCGCGCCTTGACTGCGTCTCGTTGCGTCCCACACATCATCCTGGGGGTAACGGCCCCTGGAGAAAATTGAATATTTTACGCGGACGACAATCTCTAACCTCGTTAGGTCTAATCAGACGATATTACGTTTACAGTTTTTAGTTTAAACTGCTGTCGAGCGCCATCCCCCTCGGCCTACAGGGTCGAGGTGATCTGTGATTCGTGATCGATCCTCCATCAAGGTCGGTTATCATGGCCCGGTGTGTCAAATGCTGCACAATCTAAAGGGAAGTGAAATACCAGAAAATACATTTCATTTTTGTGTGTGATCTTTTCACAGAAGTGTTAAATAAATGTTCATTTGAATCTTGTTTTTAAGTGTGCTATATCTGGTATCATATGGTCATGTCACACAGGCCCTACCTCCGAAGACAAATTAAGCGGATATTAAGTCAAAGGGAAATAACTCATTAGCATGTCAAATACTTTAATGAACCAACCAGAGAGAGATAGATAGATAGAGAGAGAGAGAGAGAGAGAGAGAGAGAGAGAGAGAGAGAGAGAGAGAGAGAGAGAGAGAGAGAGAGAGAGAGAGAGAGAGAGAGGAATTATTTCAAATTATATCTAACGTTGTGAGTAGCAACCTAAATGGACGTTGTGACCTATCTGAAAGGTTAAACAACGCTGTCATTCATGGCATGTTATATACGTTTACGTTCTTGTTTGTTTACCGCCAGATATGAATCGAGTTTTATTTGTAAATTTTACATTCATTCAATCTCTGCAGACATCAAATAATACAATAATATAACACAGAAAAATCACAGTGACAGATTATTTGAACTTAAGGAACATCCATTTGTACTGCACTGTACCGACTCCAATAAAAAACGACGCCAATTGCTGCTTGGCTCATGTACGAGAGTCGGATGTTTTAGGCCGCAGTGGGCAACATTCCAGCAACAGGTGGCAGTCAATAATCAGTTCTGGAGCCAGCAAACCAGTCATTAAAAACATGAGCAATAACCAATGAACACAATGAACCACACCTGTCCATCTGATTTCCCATTCAGTCGCTTCTCAAAACCCACAATGAGCTTGGGGGAACTATGCCCTCTACACTGTGTGCAACCTCGACTCCAGGCCGAACCTTTCATTAGGAGATCTGCATTTGAAGGCAGGTCATACTGCATGTGTACATACTTACATAACACGGCCTTTTACTGTCGTACAAACTCTGAGAGAGGTATTAGAATGAAGTTCATCAAGATTAATCGATCACATAATTCCGAACCTCCTCAGTTTACTTCCGGGAAAATGGTTTAATAAGCTTACCTGTAGATTCGATGTCGTTCGTTCCCGAACCAAAATGTCAGTTTTGTGTTGTCGTTTCAAGACGCCAGAAACAAGACGCCAGATCGATCCGTTATACAGTCGATAGGCACTCTTACTTTTAGAAGTTTAATTCAGTGTAATTCTGTTCACATTGTTCGTCAACTAATCTCACGATTTTTAGATCAGTGAATATCTTGTGCACTTGTTTAGTCTCTCTTTACTTCAGTATTCATTGCAATAGCCTATGGGTGGTGTAAAAAGAGTTAGTACAGAGCGGAATTACGGATTACTGGTTTCCTTGCGAACAGCATGAAGTCGAGAAAGTCACTTTAGCCGATCTTCTGGATTTACCCCCTATAACGTCTTTCTTTGTCAAACCAACTCCTCTCGGCAATCAATGAATATCTCCCATGTCGATAATGGCCACTCTATTGATTGTGTTCGATGTTACAGTATTTTTATCAAAACTATCACCGAGCCAGGAAATGGCGTGTCGTCATTCGAAGACCGAGCTTAGTGTATTGCCTCAAAAACACGGACCTTAAGTGTCAGCAACATTTTGGAAGGTTTTTTGTTCTGTTCCAGGACTAAGCTGTCAGTGTGAAGACATGGACGAACAATTCACTTCCTCACTTTGAAAACACAATGTCAGCTTATTCGAAATCCATGTATGACAACAATGCTTTTTTAAAATGTATTGCGAAATTGAGGTCTTCAATATTTCGACTTCCAATAATGTGTATCGTAGGTTTATTTACAACGGAGCTTTCTCGAAATACATCTCAACCTGAATTGTTAAATGTTTAAATTTCCTTGGAGATTTATGGATATGATCAATGACATAAACTTATGAATTATTATATTGCTAATATTCAAATGGATTAGGCTCACATGAAACACTTGCAAACCTTTCTCGTATACTAGTATACATTTCATTACATTATATACAATATATAGTGGTGCATTTATGTAGCATTATCATTACACTAGGTAGTAGAGCGGTCACCGTGATAGACGTTGAATGTATGTCTGTGATATTTACATCAATTGAACCGCTTGTGTTTTTAATTCATCATTCATTCATCAGTTTTAATTGAAGCAGATATTGACGCCAGTAGTGTCACATTTCTAACCGTCTCGGATATTGCCTGTTTGTTTGTTGTTAAACGCCGAAATAAGCAATATTCCATCCATATGACGACGGTCTGTAACTAATAGTATCAGGACCAGGCAATCCAATCATTGACATCATGAGCAATGATCCACGCATTCGGGGTGAAATCCATCAGCTAAGTCAGCGAGCCCGACCACCCGATCCCGTTTGTCATCTCTTTTGACATGCATGGGTTGCTGAAGACAACTTCTAACTCGGATCTTCACGGGGCGGGATATTTCTTATTAGAATGAATGAAATTCAAACATTATTTTCATGTTTTTGATAAAAAAAACATGCCCCGACATCGGTAGGTAAACCGCACATAAAATCCCCACTAATGTATAAACTGTGACTTCAACGTTTCAATCCTTTTGGATAATTACATCGTACGTGGATTTGATAAGCTTCTTATTGCAGACCGATTACTTATTTGACCCTTCTCAACACAACGGATAATCAATGTTAATTTATCGACCAGTATTACCTGTAGAGACAGTGCCAAGGGAAGTAACTCTATACCAGTTGTCGCTTCTTGCGTTCTGGACAGATGATTTGGTACTAGGGTTGTCTTTTCCTTGTCTCTGAAGTACATCTTGATTTCCAATCGATTGCCATTCAAACTCATGTGATAGGAAAAGGCCATTTAATGGGCCAAGCATTTGCTTGGTGCATCTATTTAATGTCGATAACAACCATTTCATCTGTCAAGCTCGACTCACACCATTGCAAGTGCTGCGCGCCTGTCACGAAAGCAGGGTGTGCTAACAGAGAGGCTCTCTTTGGGTTAATGAAAATACCAGAGTGAATTACTGTAGGTTTCTAACAGAGCAGCCTAGCTGTGCTACCGAATTAAAGGAAACGAATCGTAAATCACTTTATCGAAAATAGAGAGGATTTTGCATGCCTGGACAGACATATGACCACTAGTAGGGGTGGTGGAGCCTGACAATGTCCCTACTAGTATCAGTCGTCTACCTTCTTGGTGGAGCCTGACAATGTCCCTACTAGTATTAGTTGTCTACCTTGTTGGTGGAGCCTGACAATGTCCCGACTAGTATTAGTTGTCTACCTTCTTGGTGGAGCCTGACAATGTCCCTGCACGTATCAGTCGTTTTATTTTTTAGTGGAGCCTGACCATGTCCCTACTAGTATCAGTTGTCTACCTTGTTGGCGGCGCCTGATTATGTCCCTAC